ATTGAAAAGATTGTTGAAGAGATCGCTCATTCATCGCCAATCCCAATTGCGGGAGCTCTTCCACGGGCGCTGATCATCAGACCACCACGAGTCCCAGGATTGGCCCCAGCTTCCCCAGTACGACTGGCTCCATTGACGATCTTGCCATTGGCCACCGGTCTCCCGGAGCTGCGGAATGGGCTTGCGCGTCACACCGACAACTGCAGGGAGCGGGGTGGCTCGTCCAGGGATCTCGATGTTGGGGATCTCCTCTTCGACGAAGCAGAGCAACTCAACCAATACCATTTCGGGGTCTCCCACAGACGAGAAATCCCGGGTCCAGCCCATCACGGGGTAGCGGTTGCTCTTGTCAAGGCTTCCATACAATGCAGCAAATTGTTCTGGTTCCAGAAATCTGCCACCATGCACAACATAGACGTCCTTCGGATCGACCTCCTGCACGTCCTCCGTTGGCGGCACCAGCGTTAGCCGTGCGTGATATTTCGGCACAGCAACGCTTCCTTGGATCATTTCCTTGGTTCTCACGAAACTCGGAATAATGCATCGTGCCACCTTCTCGATGAACTCGAGGGCGGACGGCGTCAGGTCTCCCCGCGCGGCAGTGTAGGCGTAGAAGGGGTCATTGATCAGCCTCTCGTACAGCGTGGTGTACTCCTTGTTGCGAAGAACCGCTTTCTTGGCGATGTCCTTCATGATGCCGAGGCCCCCTCTTGCGCTTCGATCTCCCCGCGCATCCTTCCGCTGCGTCAATATCTGAGTCTCAACCTGGTCCATGGAAAGCGGCACGCCCAAGCTGTTGGCCATCTCCTGCAAACGGACGACCCTGGCTATTTTCTTGATATCGGGCATGCGTTCCATCAGCTGGTCACACTGAAAACAGTTGATGGTGCCGACCGGGATGAGGATTTTGCAGCGAGGGCACTCAACGTCGGGGATGTGCATGACCTCCGCGAAGCGCCAGTTTGTCGACTTCTTCTTGTTGGGATCCAAGTCCTGCCACAAACCACTCCGGCCTCGGGTTTCCCCGGGCTGCTGCGTCACAGCTCGGGCCCAGTTCCTGTAGAGGCCATAGCGGGCGGTCTCGAATTCAAGCGCGACCTGCTCTTCTTTCGGGAGGTTCTCGTCGTAGACGTCCTTGACCTTCGTCACATTGCCAATGCGGTGGGGCCGCGTCAGGTCGCGGCACGCTGTCGGAGCCCACTGTTTGTAATAGAGCTTGCATTCCTTCTCGGCGTTCGCCATGAACGATTCCAGCACTGGGGTCCCGACAACGCCCTTCTGGGTCTCTTCCCGATACTTCTTGATGCTGTCCTGGTAATTCCGTCTGACGCTGACGTACATCCGGTTGGACCAGATAAACTTTGCACATTCAGCGTCATAGGCGTAGATGAGGACCTTGTTCGTGATCCAATCCTCCGTCACCAGGGCTTCCCCGTCTCCGGGTGCGTACAGCCGACATCCCAATTGGATCAACATCTCCACATCGACGGCGATGTTGATGGGTCGGTCAGCACGCGCACCCCCCGCCTTCCGGCCATGCCTGTCCCAAGGAGGCACCACCGTTAGGTAGGCGTGACCACGCGAGGTTTGCCGGTCTCCCATTCCGCCCGGAAAGATGCCCATGTAGATGATGTCAAAGAAATTCTGCATGTTGCACGTGTGGTAGGCGATTTTGGGCAGCGCCTTTCGGCGTGCGTCCGAGAAATCTTTGCAGAAGCCCGGTCGCACACCCTTCTTTGCGTGCTCGATGGTGTAATTGACATCCATTGCAATGGGATCTCCAGGAATATTGTCAAAGCCGCTGGCCTCGGTCACCCAATCGTTGTGGCCGGTGAACGCGCGAATGCGTAGTGGCATGAAACTGAGCCCGTTCCATTGCTGCCCGGCCGGCGCGTACTCGACATAGACCTCGAACCGATTCGATGTGGACGTGGCCTGAAGAAGAGTGTATTGGGAGCAGTTCCAGTCATATCGGCGTTGGATCCATTTGGCGACGGCTGCGTAGTCGAAGGAGTTGTCCTTGAGATTGATCTCAGGGATGGATCGCGTCGCATGTTCGTGGGCATGTCCGCGAACCAAATACGACACCTTCTTGCGCAAGAAGGTCCTTCTGCCATAGTTCTGGATCTGGGGAATCTTGATTCCTGAGCACTTGATCCACTCCCTCTTGGGTTCAGCAGCCTGGCCACGGGTCTCCCCGGGCTTTCCAGCAGCTTTGGAAACTGCCTTCGCCTTGGGGATGTTCTCCGGGCCACGGATCTCTCCGGGCTGAGTCTTGCTGGTCCCAGCCACGGACGCCTGATCGCTGGATGAGGCAGCAGGCATTGGCATTGCCTTTGATTTCACCTTTGGTGTCGCAGCACTGAGAGCTGCAGTCATTTTGTTATGACTTTTCCGCTTGGAAGTGAGGATAAGCTTGATTTGGCCGTCCTCACCAATATCGTTCGGATCCACTGCGGCAACCTCAACGGCCTGGCCTTTCGGCCGGCTGACCTTAGGCTGAGAGCCAGGGGGCAGGTCGAAGCTGATCAGGTCCTCCTCATCCGAAGAAGAAGACCAATCAATCACATCGTTGAGGCCGCTGACGGTCGCCGCGTGAATGTCGGGTTGCATCATCTGCAAGATCTTTGCTTCCTCCTTGACGGTGTCAAGGGGGTAGAGGGGGTTTGCCTCCTTTTCAGTCTCCAGGAAAACCTCGCGCTTCGGCTCTTGCGCAGCGATTTCGTTGATCGCCTCCAGCTCCCTCTCGCGGACCTCATTGTCGAAAGGGTCCTCAGGGTTCTTTGCAATTGCCGGACCGCCAGTTTCCTGGGGTGTAGCGCCAAC